AATCAGGGATTGAGTTTGCCTCTGTTTTTGTCTCTGTCTGTAGCAGCCCAATCAATGCCAAGAAAACCAGCACCGCGGGCAGCGGAGACAACTACGTTACCTTGTGGAGAAATTACCTCATTCTCTGTTTTGGAGTTGCCAAACCCAGTATTATGAGCCCAGGACACTTACGAGCGTCCACTCCAGAGATCATGGCCACGACCCCCGATGGTACAGTGAGCTACGATAACAAGGTGACATGACATGCTTCAGAGGAATTCTTCTGTAAGGTTTTTTTTTTTAGCTCACTTGTCTAGCGTTCCCAGTACAAAAGGCACCGCGCCTGCCATCTGGAATAGCAGGGAATCGGATTTTCTTCCGACACATTTCCAGATCCCATTAAGCGTCTCTGTGAATAATTTATTGCTCCCCTGTGAGGGTGGAATGGAAGAATAGAAGATTGGGAAGCTTGCTCTAGGGAACCTTGCATTTATCAGTGCCTCGAGGTTGGGCTTGTCTCCTCCATGCCTTCTTTCCCTCTTCACGGACTGAACGCCAGAAAACCACAACTCTAGCCAATGATTTTATTAAAGATAGTTTTGTTGACTTACATAGTTTAAAAGAAAAGGTCAGATTTTTCTTTAGGACTCGGATCCCAGGTAGGAAATACTTAAATTGTACTGCATTAAATATGTGGGTTTTTTTCCTGAAGTGGTGGCAGTACCTTGGGATGTCACTCAGTCGGTTGCATGTTCTCTTTGTCACGTCAAGTCACCTTGTTTCAGGCCATCGGCACACCGTCAGTGGGTGTCCTGCTGAAGCAATTGGTGCCTTTGATGAGGCTGGAGAGCATCGAGATCACAGAGTCGCTTGTTCTAGGATTTGGAAGAACAAATTCCCTTGTTTTCAGGTATGGTTGCCACAGTACGTTCTTCTAAATCATACGTGTTGCTGCGGTTACGGTTATCTCTTAAGTCAAGCTTGGGGGTGACAGATGCCAGCTGGCGTCTGGAGTGGTGATGGGCTGTGCATGGTGTCCTTCACGCTGTTGTTTGAAGGTAAGCGGCCTTCCTTTCCCAGCTTTGATTTTATCTCTCAAATTTTATTTCACTTGCCAAGCTTTGTCTTAGGTAAATGTAAGTGAAGATAACTCCCTGTCCATGCCCGGTTAGCCAGACTTTGTGAGGCTGCAACCCAAAAGAAGGGCAGTGTGTGATTTCCTGCCATTCCTACCACAGACTCAAAGGTGGCACACGAATGGAACCCACTGGGCGGGCTCAATTCGCACAAGCCATCTTTCTGTAAAGCTTGTTTTGTACCTCAATCAAACCGGCTTTGTGATCTTACGGTCAGATACTTGGGGCGGTGTCAAAGCTTCTGAAAGAGACATCATGAAATGTTGATGCACACCAATTCTGGTGATAAGCTGAGATGTAAACAAATCAGAATGAAGGTAACATTTATTAAACAAAAGCTCCCATGCAGTGAGAAAAGAGGACTCTTCGAACATCTCACCCTGAACAATAAGTAGAAATTACAAGTTCTCATTACTAGAGCACCAATTAACCAGCATTTAGCCAGTTATTAATTAGTTAGGTTAGCTTTAAAAAGATAACTCACCCTGGGCAGTGGTGGCTCACCTTTAATCCCAGCTCTCAGGAGGCAGAGGCAGGCAGATCTCTGTGAGTTCGAGGCCAACCTGGTCTACAGAGTGAGTTCCAGGACTGCCAGGACTGTTTCACAGAGAAATCCTATCTCAAACCCCCACCACACACACACACACACACAAAAAAAAACACCTCACAATTCCTGAAATCAGTCAGTGATCTTTCCCAAAGAACTGCCAAGTCCCTGAGCACAGCTTACCCTCTCTCTGTATTCCTGGAGGTAGACGCTACCCTTCAGCTAACCAGCCACAGGAGTCTGAACAGGCTCTGTGAGCCTCAGTTTGCCCAGCTGCAAGATTAGTACAACAACTCTAATAAAAATCTCTCTAATAAAACAAGCTGAGCATCTGGACCAATAGCTCAATGTTAGTTAAGAGCACTGGCTGCCCTTACAGAGGACCTAGGTTCAATTCCCACTGCCCTCTTCTGGCCTCCATGGGTACTGCATGCATGTGGTGTGCAGCCTGTACCCCAGACACACAGAAGTAAAATTAAATTTTTTTATTTTAAACCAATTTGATGTAATGGAATCTGCCCCATAATCTGCTAATAGGGTATATTAGATATATATTCACATAGGAAAATATTTGGTAAATAGCTGATAAGTAGGAGAGGGTTATTAACAATTATCAATATTAACATTATTAGTGTTACCATATAATTCTACCAATATATTATCCTTTGATATTATATTTTAATGTCATTAACATTATACATTATAAATGGGACTCTTTGATGAAGAAATTCTGTCTTTATCTGAGTGATGGAGACTAAGCCTCAGATTTTCCTCTCAGTGCAGAGTGCTATGGATTCTCACAGCCTTTCTGATTCTCTGGAGGGTGATGCTTAGTGTCCACGAGGAAAGCATGCAGTTTCCAAACTTGTCTAGCTGCAAGCTACATTTTGTGTCTATTTTAATATAGCAATTCAGAAATAATTCCCAAAAAAAGACAATTCATAACAAAACAAACAATATTTAGAGACTTGAGAGGGCAGGTGAGATACATACATACATATATATGTGTGTGTGTTTGTGGGTGTGTATAATGCATATATATGTATAGCATAATACACATATAAAATACATTTAATGTATAGGCATATACATATAATACATATATAACACAGAGAAATTAATAAGATATCTATTAATCAATATATTTTTACTACACATGAAAGGTTTTAATGAAAACTGCACTATTTTATCTCTTGCTATAATTTGTGTCTGTCATATAATGCAAGGGTAAGCTTGGCTCTGAAATAGAGGTTTCATGTTTTAAACCCATTATGTGGGTCCTGAGCATGGGTCCCCAAGATAGTTCAATATCAACTCACTATTTCCTTTTGATTGGACCGAAAGGTTTTTTTAAGGACACAGACTCAATTTTATTCATTTTCAATTTCATAGCCAGTCCTGAAGTGCCCTGGATTTAGTAAGGACTTGGGAAATGCTGTTTTATTGTTCAGATAGGGTGTTCTCCAATCCACATGTGCAGCACAAAGGTAGATATGTCTGTATAGAGTAACACCCACAGAGACGTCACAGGAATTTTGAATGGCAGCCAAGTGACATAATTATGTATTTATGCTGGAATGGATATGTTGGTGATGAGTTTTATATCCACGACAACCTTTTCCCTCTGTAGAGAACTGGTCGAAGAACTCCATCCGTTAATGAAGGAGGCTCTGGAGAGGAGGCCAGAGGTAAGGTCTGGAGTCCCATCATGAAGGCCTGACTCATTTGGACAGTGGTATGAACCTTAGGTCCCCTTTATCATCCCCTAAAGAATACAAACACCCTACCCTGATTCTCACAGGAACCCCAGTACACTGGATTTTGTCATTTTCAATAGTTAAGTAATTCAGATTTCAAAGAATTTTCTTTTCTAAATGCACAAATGCATAACATGGAGATGTGTTTCTGTTCTTTTACAAAAGTTTAAGTCAAAATTTAATTTTGGTTTTTAGTTCGCTTGGTTTTGTTGTCATCATTATTGACAAACCAGAGCCAGGTGTGGTGGCGCACACCTTTAATCCCAGCACTTGAGAGGCAGAGGCAGGCGGATCTCTGTGAGTTCCAGGCCAGCCTGGGCTACAGAGTGAGTTCCAAGATGGCCAGGGCTACACAGAGACCTTGTCTGGAAAAACAAACAAACAAACAAAACAACAGCAAAACCCAGGAATCAATGTCAGAATACTGGGTCTCATTTAGCTTATGATATACTCCTCAATGTTATTTCCCCCAGAATGAATCCATCCCAGAATTTACTTACAATGCACCAAGACTGAAAAATAGTAAGATTGAAAAAGAAGCTTCCCATAGATGTGATACAAGAAAAGGCAGAAATCTGGGGCTAAGGACACAGCTCGCCTCCTGAGAGCACTGGATGCTCTTCCAGAGGGCCAAGGTCACTCACAACCATCTATACCTTCAGTTCCAGGGAATCTGATGCCCTCTTCTGGCTTCCATGGGCACCGCATACACCGGGTACACATATATACATATAGGCAAAACACTCATACACATAAAAATAAGCTTAGGGTTTTTTTTTGTTGTTGTTTTGGTTTTTTTTTTTTTTTTTTGTTGTTGTTGTTGTTGTTTTAAGAAGTAGCAGAAATTTAGCAGCCTGAAGAATAGCGTGTGCTTGCTGAGCAGACTCGGTGGAGAGTGACAAAATCCTCTGTCCTCTCCAGTCACTCTGGACACGAGGCACACTACTCAACATTCCCACCTTGTATGTTCTTCCTGCTCACTTACGGTGTTTTCCTGTGATAGCTGCCCTTGTCTCTACTGACCAGGAAGAGGGAACGATGCATCCCTCTTACGTAGAAAACTTGAAAATACCGAATTTCACCCTAAGGTTCACACTGCAGTATCCTTGACCGTAAGTGGCATTGCCTCTTCCTACGCAGAACAAGAAACGCCGAGAACGGAGAGACCTGCTGAGGCTGCAGCTGCTGCGGATATTCGAACTTCTGGCAGACGCTGGGGTGATAAGTGACAGGTGGGATCAAATACTGAACTGACCTCCTCCTGCCGAAGCCTCTGCTTCTTCTCGTTCTTTACATGTATTGTTTGGACAAAGGTTTTGTTCAGCTGCCCCTCTTTTTCCGTACTCCGCTCACGGTGCACATAGAGACCAGATCTGCCGTGTGAACGCCAACCGTTTGTACTGCCTTCATGAGGCCTTTGCCCTGATGTGTAACCTGTCTAAAGGCGTCCTTCCCTTCCTCCAGCACCAACGGAGCCCTGGAGCGGGACACCTTGGCCCTCGGAGCGCTGTTCTTGGAGTACGTGGACTTGACCCGCATGCTCTTAGAAGCTGAAAATGACAAAGAAGTTGAAATTCTTAAAGACATCCGAGCGCATTTTAGCGCCATGGTTGCCAACTTGATTCAATGTGTCCCAGGTAATCCATCATTTCCAGCTACCTTTGGGCTGGGGAAAGCGTTTGCCTTCCTTGTGACTGCTCTTCCCTGATTCCCGACGGGCTGCCTATAGGCCTAAGGGGGTTTCTTTGTTTATTCTGAGACACTGAAAATACCCGTGAGACAAGGTCACCTCAACCTAGCGGAGTCACCAGGGAACAGTCAGAATCACGTTTGTTATTGGGCAATGTCACTTCTGTCTTGGCTTTGGTCCTGGTCCCCAAATGAACTGACAGTGTTTTGACGGAAGGAATTCAGAGGAAGCCTTCCCAGAAGCTTCATTTTCTCCTGTTGCCTGTGTTAACCTGATTCCAGCCCCTTCCTTCAATCAGAACAGTACCTAGGATTCTGTAGCACGGAATTCCTTTTATATTTGGTTTATCCGTTACGTCGGGCAAAGGCTAGCTCACAGGACACAGAGATGTTTTTATTCTGATAGAGGCATGTGAAACAAAGTAGATGGTTGACTTGGTATAAAAGTTACTCAGATTGTAAATTTTGGATATAAGTATAAAAACAACTCAGCTAGCCAGGCGGTAGTGGCGCACACCTTTAATCCCAGCACTTGGGAGGCAGAGGCAGAGGCAGAGGCAGGTGAATTCGAGGCCAGCCTGGACTACAGAGCGAGATCCAGGACAGGCGCAAAGCTACACAGAGAAACCCTGTCTCAAAACCGCACCCCCCCCCCAAAAAAAAAACCTCAGCTAATGTGTCTTTTGTTGTTTTGATGTTGTTATTAACTGTATTGGTCCACCACATCTTTAAGGGCCTTAAACTACAATTTAAACTTAACTTCTTCAGTAATGTGAAATACATGTTTTTGAAATAGCATATATTATATTCCACTATGTTCTCCCTAATAACAGGGAGCAGTGGTCACAAAAATTCATTCTATAGACACAAAAGTTAAGTGGAAAGATCAGGTACAGCAGTGGTTCTCAACCTGTGGGTCATGGCTGCTTTGGGGTCAAGTATCGGCTATCTTGTATATTTGATATATACGTTATGATTCATAACAGTAGCAAAATTACAGTTATGAATGGAGTAGCAACCAGATGATTTTACGGTTGGGGGTCAGCATAGCGTGAGGAACTGTATTAAAGGGTCACAGTGTTAGGAAGGCTGAGAACCACTGAGTTAGAGTGTCTGCAGGTCCCGGTGTCTATCTCTCCTCCTACTTTGAGTGTGAAGGGTACACACAGAAAGGAGGCGTGTGTTGAATGTATTTAAAAAGCCAAGCTTCTGCAGCTAAGGATCACGGGAGTTAGGGGGCTGGTGGTGTCACTCACTGGGAGAGCGTGTGCTGAGCATGCGCAAAGTTCTAGAGCATGCGCAAAGCCCCAGGTTCTAGCCCCAGCTGACTTACAGGAATAGTCAGTCCTCGGAGGATGGAGAGATTGGATCAGTACTGCTCTGGCAAAGGACCCAAGTTTGGTCCCCAGCCCCTGTATCAGGCAGCTCCCATCCACGTGGACTCCAGTTTTAGATGATCCAACACTTTCTTCTGGCCTCTGTGGGCACCTGCGCTCATGTACACCTGCCTACCCATGGAAAAACATATATACACACAATTGAAATCTTTTTTAAAAAGCTTTAGGAAAAGTGGAACTTTTTCCTTTCCCTACAACTTGAGAATGATGTTCAATGGTGCTACGACTGTGTTCTGTCTAACAGACCCTGGTTCTGTGTTGCTCTCTCTAGTTCACCACAGGAGATTTCTCTTCCCCCAGCAAAGCCTGAGGCACCACCTCTTCATCTTGTTCAGCCAGTGGGCGGGCCCCTTCAGCATCATGTTTACACCTCTGGATCGGTACAGTGACAGAAACCACCAGATCACGAGATACCAGTACTGTGCCTTAAAGGTTGGTTCGCAGCATCAGGGGTCTCTCTTTTTTTTTTTTTTTTAAGCCAGCAGCCATGCCTTAAAAGTAGCTATAATAGTCAATATTATACAATAAAATAAACGTACAGATATAATAAAAATGGATACATGCACACAGGTAGGCTCACAATTGCAAAATGTTGTCAAGTTACTGCTTTTATCCAGTGTTTCCTCTGTGTGAACAGAACAGTTTTGCCTATTTGCCCCTGAGGTTACTAAATGTTACTGATTAACTTCCAACCTAAGAGGGGGAAAAACATAATCAACCAACAGTACCACCACCTGAGGACCAAGTGTTGGAATATGTTAGCCTGTGGAGGGTCGCGGTCTTGCAGCCTAGCGCCCTTGAGAGGAGTAACTATCAGCAGTCATTGTAACTGCATCAGCTGGCGTCTACACCGTGCGTTATCGGCTTACGCTTATGTACAACTCATGGGGTGCCTAGACATGGTTGCCCTGAGAGTCAGTTGTCCTGCCAAGCAGCACAGATTAGTCAAAATCCCCTCTTCTTACTCTTACCATTCACTACTGTCCTCCCCTAAAGGATCTAAAGTTCATGTTCTCGATTTTTTTTTAACTTTGGATCAAGGATGACAAGCATTTTAGTACTATGCAAAATACAAACAGCTAGCTTTACCTTATCAGCTGAATTAACTAACTTGAAACAACTAAAGGAAATTTGATTTGAGTTGTTGTAAAATAGTCATTTTGTTTTATTCTTTCTTTACAACATGCATTATAACCACAAATGCATACATCCATGAAGCTATAGCTTTTTAACTTTTGTTTTTGAAATTGAAATCTGGTGGAGGAATTTTGATTGACTCTGCTAAGGCATACTTTCAAAACCCTGGAGGAACAGCTGTCACTAAAGAGATGCCATCAATCCAGGCCTGGTGGTGCACGCCTGGGATCCCAGCACTGGGGCAGCTGAAGCAGGAGGATTGCAAGTTCAAGGCTAACCTGGGCTAAACAGTGAGACTTTCTGAGATAAAAATAAAGGCAGCCCCCAGATCTGCCCGCCGAGTTCTTTGAAGCCGGCTGGGTACCGGCTCTGTTTGATGCTCCGGGTTCCGTCTCAAGGTGTCACCGTTTCTAATTCCAGGCCATGTCAGCAGTGCTATGCTGTGGCCCTGTTTTTGACAATGTCGGCCTCTCTCCGGATGGCTATCTGTATAAGTGGCTCGACAATATTCTGGCCTGTCAGGATTTACGAGTTCATCAGCTTGGCTGTGAAGTTGTCATCTTGCTACTGGAACTTAATCCTGACCAAATAAACCTTTTCAACTGGGCCATCGACCGATGCTACACAGGTTCCTACCAGCTTGCGTCCGGCTGCTTCAAAGCCATAGCGACCGTGTGTGGAAACAGGTACGAACTGTCAGAATTAGTGGTTAGTGGCAATCGTGGTGACGCTTGCTCTCCACAATGTGAGGAACGGCTGACTGACTGCTGGGTAATTATCTTCAGAGTGGATCCTGTGAGAGCCCAGAAGTTTCCATGATACCGCTAATTCCATTTGATCAGGAGATGGTTCTCACAGTGTTTGAAGGGCCCAGACAGTCACAGTGAAGTGTGAGATCAGAACTTGAAAATAACGTAGACGATACACTGAAGGAATTAAAGGCATGTGGACAAGTGTCCTGATCATGTTAACTGTGAGCCCATTAACCAGCTGCCCACCAAATCAAACCCAGGAAACAGAGCTGTTTAAATCCCCTCTGCTCAAAACTTCAGAAAGAAATCGGAAAGGAGTGGTACCTGAGAGTCTGAATATTACACTTATTTGGAAGCATGCTGATTTGAACCCAGGGCCTCAAGCATGCTAAAAATGCCCCCCACCACTGAGCCACACACCAACCCAAAGAGTATGCTTCTAAAACCACCGTCCTTATTATATAACAAGCGAGTCCATGAAGCTGTTGGGCACGACACCTTAGTAAGTGTGATGAAACCATAGCTAGTTAAGCTCCCCGAGCTGTATAAACTAAGAGAGAGAGCATGCAATTTAGGAAGGGGAGAGACTAGAATACAGTTGGGGTTTACACTCCAAAAGCTTCCTGTAGAGACTGATGCTGCACCTCCACAGTTAAGAGCATGTACTAGCGTTGCAGACAACCCGAATCCAGTACACAGCACCCACGTCATGGAGTCCACAGCCTTCTGTAACTCCAGCTCCAGGTGATCGGATGCGTCTGAGCTCCTTGGGCACTTGAATATGATTTACTTACACACACTCAGATACACATAAAAATCCACAAATAAAGGAGTCTTTCCAAAAAAGACAGGGCAGTGTCAGTTCAAAGGAGCCAAGTCAATGCGCCACCCTAGCCTTTTTGGTTGGGTATTTTTGTTTGTTTTTTGTTTTTTGAGACAGGGTTTCTCTGTGTAGCTTTGTGCGTTTCCTGGAACTCACTTGGTAGCCCAGGCTGGCCTCGAACTCACAGAGATCCACCTGCCTCTGCCTCCCGAGTGCTGGGATTAAAGATGTGCTCCACCCTAGACTTTTGAGAGGCGACAGTCTGTCTAGTGTACCAGCCAGTCCGTCTTATCACTATGCCGTGTGTTTTACTATTTTTTCCCAGGAACTATCCCTTTGACATAGTGACCCTGCTGAACCTTGTTCTCTTCAAGGCCTCTGACACCAACAGAGAGATTTACGAAGTCTCCATGCAGCTCATGCAGGCATGTATCATTCGCCCGTGTGCAAAAGTTCCATCCTTGAGCTCAGAACACATTTATTTGTTTCTGTGTGTCGTGTGAAGAGTGAGGAGGCATGCACATACCATGTTCTCCAGACACAGCAGTTAACTGATGCTGTATGAAGATAAACCTATTTGTCACGCACGGTACTACCAACCTTGGTTAAATGTAAATATTCCTGAGGTGTGCAGCTCACATTTTCTCAGCTTGTTTCTTAACTCCTCATAGATCCTTGAAGCAAAGCTGTTTGTGCACTCCAAGAAAGTGGCCGAGCAAAGACCTGGCAGCATTCTGTACGGAACGCATGGGCCACTGCCTCCTCTCTACAGCGTGTCTCTAGCCCTTCTGTCCCGTGAACTGGCCCGGATGTACCCGGAGCTCACTCTTCCCCTCTTCTCAGGTACCGTCCGGTCTCAGTCGTGACCTATGTCCCCGTGTCTCCCGCTCTAAGCAGTTTTCCGTTTTTGCGCCTATTGTAGTTTTAGTGTCAGACATCAGTGCTAAATTTGTGGGTCAGAATTGCTAAGGGCGCAACCTAGCTACATACAGAAGCAAATTCAAGAGTGTTTTATGTGTATGGGTGTTTGCCTGATGGTGTGTCTCTGCACCATGTGAGTGTAGTGCTGATGGAGGCCAGAAGAGGGCGTCAGATCCCCTGGGACCGGAGTTACAAACAATACGAGCTGCCCTGTGGATGCTGGGACTTAAACCCAGGTCCTCTGGAAGAGCAGCCAGTACACTTAACCACTGAGCCATCTCTCCAGGCCCCTCAAGAAATTTTTTTTTAATTTTTTTTGGTTTTTTGAGACACGGTTTCTCTGTATAATAGTCCTGGCAATCCTGGAACTCACTTTGTAGACCAGGCAGGCTTCAAACTCACTGAGATCCACCTGCCTCTGCCTCCCGAGTGCTGGGATTAAAGGTGTGTGTCACCGCCCCCCAGCTCAAGAAATAATGTTATTGGTTAAAGCAATGTAACCATAAATATGTACTTGACAAATGCAAAAGATTCTTAGGTCAATAAACATACATATATATAGCATATATTATATATGTATGTATATATAGTATAGTATGTATGTATATCCCATAGAAATTATGTTATATGGAAAATATACTTAAAATAACTCTTAATTACTTACTTAATTGGTAATGATATTGGATATCATATAGTCTTATATTTTATATATTATAGTTATATTTTAAAAAATAATTTGTCTCAGCAATTGTCACAAATAACTTTTTTAAGAATTGGGTCTGAAAAGGTGCTTTTGCTGCCTAAATTCATGTGACACCTTACCAAGAGGCAGACTCTGTCCCAGAATGTACCTCATCTTCCACCTGCACCCCAAGTGCCTTAGCCCCAATCCTCCTCAGCCACCCCTGCCTCTGCCCACCTTACCCTTACCCAACTTGGCCTCTGCACTGCGGTTCTTCATCTACACAACAACACATCTGTGCGGCATTTCCCACTCACGCACCTCTGGGCGAGTGTACTGAAATGATTGGTAATAACAATGGCTTGCATGTATTGGGTACCTACAGTGTGCTAGGCTCTCTGCTGGACCCCTCATGTGCATCATGATTATTGAACCGGAAGAACCAGAAAGACCTTCCAGACAGGCTGATGTCTGAGCTGCAGTTAGAAAGAAGAAAGTTACCAGGCAGACGGGCAGGTGGATAACATGTGATTTGGTTTAGAGCAGTGGTTATCAACCTGTGGGTTGTGACCCCTTTGGAGGTTAAACAACCTTTTCATGGGTTGCCTAAGATCATCAGAAAACAACATAGATATTTACATTACAATTCATAAATTTGTAACAGTAGCAAAATTACAGATATGAAGTAGCAAGGAATGTAATGTTATGGTTGGGGATCACCACAACGTGAGGAGCTGTGTTAAAGGGTCGCAGCATCAGGAAGGTTGAGAGCCCCTGCTCTAGAGGAACAGAGCAGCGCAGTGTCCTGGGAAATTATATAGAGGTCAGTGTGACCACATCAGACGTGGCCATGGATGTGCAGAAAAGCCACCTGTTTCCTGTATGTGCTCCTTGACCCCTGTCAGAGCCTGTGAGGAAAGTGGCATCTCAGAAAGCTGCTAGGGCTTTGAAAATCATCGACAAATCCCACAAAGACACTGAACTGGAAGCCATGATAGACAGAGGACCTAGTGCAGACTCGTGCAGGCCCTGTTTGAGCTTTGTTCATGCTGGTTTAGAGGACCTTGCTCTCCTGGGGTCCTGCATCCCTTCTGGCTCTTACGCTCTTCCTGCCTCATCTTCTGAAGGTTCTCTGAGCTCCGAGGGGAGGGATTTGATGGAGACCTCCCATTTAGTGTTCCAAGGTCACGTGTGTCTGTATTTACTCCTGTCCACCACAGGAGGAAACTTCTCTTAGGATGGCTAAACAAGCCACTCATTTATGAGTATAGCAGAAGATCATTAGAAGTCATTTTATCACTACATTTTTTTTTCCTTTTTTTTTAAAACCATTATTATTTGGTTTTTCCCTAAATCTCTGGAACTAGAACCTATCTAATCTCAGGTTCTTGGTCACCCAGGCAGTACTGGGCATGGGATCCATCTCGTGGAGCAAGCCTAAAGTCTAATCAGTTATTGGTTGGTTGGTCGCTCCCACAAGCTTTGTGCCACTGTTGCCCTAGCATATCTTGCAGTCAGGACACCACTGTTGACACAGGGTTTGTGGCTGGCCTGGTGTTTATGTTTTACTTTTTATAGTGTGCAGATGTTCCAAAGATCCTGGACACAGGGGTGAAGGCTCTACTTTGGCACTGGCTCCACATCTCCGCGCATCTTCAATGAGCTGTATAGGTGTTGTCCTCAGGATTGGGGCCTTGACGTCCGTTTGTGGAGAGCAACCTATAGTCTTGGCAACAGCCTGGGCTGTTTGGGGATTCTCATGGGGCCCCTTCGGCCAACAACTCAATTAGATGTAACCTAATCCCAGTACTGGGAGTTTCATTTGGTGACAAGAGATGGCCAACTGGGACCCTGTCTTCCCTACGATTTAACTATTTTGTTTCAGTTGCCTTCAGATGTGTACAGATTTTAGTAGGGTTCTACTGTACTAGATTCCCGTGTTTTTATGAGACTGCTGAGTGTGTGAACAAGTGCGTCTCTGATCCTTGTGACTTCTCTCGGGCTCTTGTCCTTCCGTTGGTTTGTCCTGCCCAACTTCAGTGTGATCGATTTTGTTTTATATTACTGTATTTCATTTTGTTATATTTTTCAAATGAATGAAGGAATGAAAACCTACCCACTAAGGTAAAGGACAACAACGGAACTGTCATTTATACCTGCTGAGAGAGGGAAAATCTGTTTTCTCCTATAGAGTGACCCTGGCTATATCAACCACTCCAGGACAGGCCTCATGTTCAGGAGTAGTTGATCAACATATAATGGACTCCACAGGGTCTTTGTGTGTGTGTGTGTGTGTGTGTGTGTGTGTGTGTGTGTGTGTGTGTGTATTTAGTTACAGCAGTTTGGTGTTTTGTTTTTTGAAGGAGAATGTGGTTTTATTCTGTTTTCTTGGTTTGGGGATTGTTGTTGTATTGGGCTTTTGGTGTGTTTTGTTTTGTTTTGTTTTGTTTTGTTTTGTTTTGTTTTGTTTTGAGAAGGAATTTAAAGCTGGGTGGATAGTGAGGGGGAAGGATCTGGAGGTCTTGGGTGTGTAGGCAGACTTTCTCTGTCCCACAGTCAGCTCTGTCCTGCCAGCAGGCTCCCCAAATAACCACACAGAGACTTGTTAATAATTATAAATGCTGGGTCGATAGCTTAGACTTGTTTTTAACTAGCTCTTACAATTTAGGCCATATTTCTTATCTACCCTCTGCCATGTGGCCGTACCTTCTTTCAGCGTAGCAAGTACATCTTGCTTCTCCCCACATCTCCTCAGGACCCCCAGACTCCGCCCTTCTTCTTCCTATCGTCCTCTTAGTTTGATTCTCCCGCCTAGCCTTATCCTGCCTAGCTTTAGGCCAGTCAGCTTCTTCATTAAACCTATCACAGTGACATATATTCACACGGTGTAAAGGAGTATTCCACATGGGTGAAAAGAAGAATATGATAAAATATATTTAAATTTAAAAAATTTTTTTAAATAATTAAAGAAAGAAGAAAGAAAAGCAGCAGAATGGAGGCTATAATCGCTGACTGACATAAAGCTGTAACTGTGCTAGGGCCAGGGATCATAGCTCGCAGAGTCAAGTGTAGCACTTGGTGGCCCTCCTGCATGCTTGGCCATTGCCAAAAAGACACCATACATGAGTTTATCGTTCGTGGGGCTTCCCGTCTCTCTTTATAACAACTAATTCGCATGGGCACTTTGTAAGCCACAAGGTTAGAAAGAGCGACCCTGCCAGGAGGCAGGCTCTGTACTGAGACTGCCCTGGAGTGTGCTGGGGTCTCCATCCCTAGCAGCTGTGCGTAGGGGGTGGCTCTTCCTTTCCTGAGCAGGGATGGAAGAGCAGAGAGGTCACCTAAGTGGCTGAGTCACACAGCCACCCCCGCAGCCAGTATATGGCGGAGATGGGATTCACCACATGTCCCGATGACCCATCCTCAGGTCCTTATTCTGTACACTTTGTTACTCCCTTTCCACTAACAGTGTGTTTGAACTTGTGAGGCTTCCTACCAGCCTGCCCTGCCCCTGAGACACCGTCCTGTACACAGGGATTGGGGTGAGCCTTACCTTTGTGATACTGCAATCCCGGATAGCTATTACATATGGTAATCCTCTTCGTGAGTGCAAACTGCTGTTGGACCAGTACACTGGTGTTCCTGTTGAGTTTGTTTTGAAGAGTAACGTGTAACTCTCCTTTGCCCTGTCTCTTCAGAGGTGAGCCAGAGATTCCCCACGACACACCCAAATGGACGACAGATCATGCTCACCTACCTGCTGCCATGGCTACACAACATTGAACTGGTGGACAGCCGACTCCTACTCCCAGGGTCAAGTCCCAGCAGCCCTGAGGACGAGATCAAGGACCGGGAAGGAGAAGTAACCACCTCTCATGGGCTAAAAGGGAATGGCTGGGGCTCTCCAGAGGCCACATCACTGGTCCTGAATAACCTCATGTACATGACAGCCAAGGTAACTCAATTAGCACGATTCCACCAGTAGCAAAGCCCTGGCCTCATAAGACCTTTGCCACAAACCCAACAAAATGACATTTACTGGTACACTGAATGCCCTTGAACTCTCTACTTACAAATATTTACAATGCCAGACATGGAGAGTCTAGAGGGCAAGACCATCCTCGGCTACATAGTGAGTTTGAGGCCAGCCTGGGCTACATGAGACCCTGTTTTAAAAAAGAAAAGGGGGTTTATGATGTTGCTAGGATAAACTTCCTGTTTCTTCAGTATTTAGTAGAGAAAGATAATACTGCATTCATGTAACACACTCCTGGTTCAGTTGCGCCCGCAGAGGACCTGGATTCTATTCCTATTTTCTAGTCTGATAATTTTGTGAGTTAACAATCATTGTGTAAGTAGGTAAGTGTGGGTTCAGAGGAGCTGGTAAACCTGGCCACCATCATTTGCTTTAAAAAATAAGAATAAAAATAATGTGTTTGGTGCATTTAAAAAATGGTTATGGAAGCCGAGCAATGGTGGCGCACACCTTTAATCCCAGCACTTGGGAGGCAGAGGCAGGCAGATCTCTGTGAGTTCATGGCCAGTCTGGTCTACAGAGGGAGTTCCAGGACAGCTAGAGCTGTTACACACACACACACACACACACACACACACACACACACACACACAATTTTTTTTTAATTAAAAAAGTGTTATGATGAGAACTGGGGATGTCTCTTGGAGTAGAACTCTTGTATTATATGCAAAAAGCCCAGGGTTCACATGCCCAGCACTGCAATTAAAGAATGGAGGGGTTGTGATGCATATTTTAGATAGATACATAAATACATAGATAGATGCATAGATAAACAGATGGTAGGCAGGCAGATAGATAGATATCACATGTTTTGGGGGAAATGGCCTATCATTTTAAAAAGTGCTTATGTAGGTACTTCATGTAACAGATCTATGTATTATAAATTGCTCTCCACCCCAAAAAATGGTATTTTTTTTTATTGAATGTTCATTTTCCCCTCCTAATGATTTTTACTAATCATAACCTTCAAACCAACTTGCGTTCTGCACACACTCATGCTGGCTGCTTTCTCTCGTTTGTGTTAGTATGGCGATGAAGTCCCAGGACCAGAAATGGAAAATGCTTGGAATGCACTGGCCAACAATGAGAAATGGAGTAACAACCTGAGAATCACGCTCCAGTTCCTCATCAGTCTGTGCGGGGTCAGCAGCGACACCGTCCTCCTGCCCTATGTAAGTCACATCCAGGAGTGTCCTTTCCTGCTGGGGCTCCCCCCCTGCTATTTGCAACTCATACTCTTAAATCCTGCTACAACAGAGGTCTGCTTTCCAAATCCTGCAGATCCCCTGCAGGGGCTCGTCCAGGTGATACACAAAAGCTCTTTCTTCCTTTCTTCTAACGCGGGCTTCAGGTGCTACTGTCAGAGGCACCTGTCACCCCTCGGATTAAGTTACAGGATACAGGTGCCTGTGAACTAAGGATGATTTTTCTGACAGTTATCAAAGCGTCCTTTATAAACAGCCTCAATACGAAAGAAGCTAAATGTAAAAGCCCATCATTACTAACAAAAAATGCTTCTGGTTTGCATCTTGACATTATTGAAACAAAATTAAAAGACAGCAGACCTGGGGTCTTCTTCTTCCTCTTCTTCTTCTTCTCCCTCTCCTTTTTCTTCTTCTTTTAAGATTTATTTAGGGGTTGGAGGTTTAGCTCAGTGGTAGAGCACTTGCCTAGCAAGCATAAGGCCCTGGGTTTGGTCCTCAGCTCCAGGAGAAAAATAAAAGAAAGAAAGATTTATTTATTTTTATTTTAGGTGAATGAGAGTTTACCTGCATGCATGTATGTGCACAGTGTGCATGCAGTACTCATGGAGGCCAGAAGAGGGCACTGAATCCCCTAGAACTGGAGTTACAGATGGTTGTGAGCCACTATGTGGGTGCTGGGAATTGAGCTCTGGTCTTCCCCAAAAGCATCCAGTGCTCTTAAAGAATGAGCCCTCTCTCCAGCCCCAGCTAGATTTGTCTTTCCAATAGTAAGTGATGGGAGAGAAAACAAAGCAGAGATATTGTTATGGTTTATTCTGTTTGTACTCGAGGGTGGTGGATCAGCTGACCGACGTCAGTTTCTCACAGACTCCTTAGCCTCTCTGTGTGTTTTTGTGAGTTTCTGACTCCCTGTTCTTCTGAGCTGCTTTGGCCCTGCTGCAGCACATGGCTGTAGGGGTTAGATATTGGGGGCTGCACTTAGATGACACATTAATGCTGTTGTTTTTAAAACCTGAGACTTCACAGACAAAGGAGATGAGAGGTCCTGGTTACTGTTCTACTGCTATGAAGAGACGGCATGACCAGGGCAACTCTCATAAAAGAAAGCATTTAATCGGGGACTTGCTTACAGTTTCAGAGGGTTAGCCCGTGATCATCACGTCAGGAAGTAGACTGATGTGGTGCTGGAGCAGTAGCTGAGAGCTTTACAACCAGATCCACAGGCAGCAGGAAGAAAAAGGGGGAGACTCGGTCCTGGCATGGGCTTTTGAAACCTCAAAGCCCACCCCCAGTGACACACCTCCTCCAACAAGTCCCCACCCCCTAATCCTTCTCAAACAGTTCTACCAACTGGGGACCAAACATTCAAATGTACCAGACTATGGTTCTCATCCAAACCACCACAGGAGGAGACTGTACTCCATTTTTAGTTTAAAAAAAAAAAAGCAGTGATTTTCCCAGAGTGGACACAATAAAATCATTTTTGTCATAGAAGTACCTTGTGCCACCAGATGCCAGTGAAATCTTGCAATGTTTTTGGCTTAAATTGACTTAGTTCACCTTAAAAGTAATGGTTTAAAAATCAAGCTACTCATGAACGTACCTGTGTAATGCATAGTGGAATTTCCCCAAGTTCCTGCCCCGAGAAAATTCCTCCCACAGTCCTGGAAAGACACTGAGGGACACCTACATACACTACGCTCTTTGGTCTGTAAACTTTATTCCTCTAGGACAAAATTCTGTCTACACAGCTTCAGCCCGGTCCTCACACTCAGCTCCTCTCTGTGCCCAGCTTTCCTGTCCTCATAGTTTTAGGAAGCTCCTGTGCTTTTGACCTCATCTTCGTCCTCTGTTCCTTCCTCCTCCATCTCTATCCTGGCTTCTTACCCCTGGCCCTGATAAACTCTACAAGAGATCTGCTTCACCCTCTACAGAACCTCTGTCTTCCTCTCCTCTCTCTGGCCACGCGGTTCTGTGTCTCCCTCTGGAATTCCTCCAGTCCTTACTGCACCTGGTTATGTAAAATCCCTACTGTCCTCAGTCAATCTCCCTGCCGTGCCCCCAGGCATGGAGGAAGGGGATGGTCTGGGCTTCATTTGCCCAGGAAACAAAGCTGTGCATCTAGGAGCCTGCTGGTCTCCTGGGCCCAGCGGGGGAGTTCGTACCTAGTGGAACAGTGTCTGGGAAGCTTAGCTGTCTGCCAAAATGGTCTAGAGTATTTGGACACACGAGAATTTCATAGCAGAAGACAGCTGGAATATTAAAAACTGGATGCTTTAATATCCAGCTGAATCTCTGTAATATATTCTTGCGGCCCGCAGAACCTGTGTAGTGAGGTTTTAACCCCAACACTAAGATCACCCCAGGATAGCAAAGGTTAGTTGTCAGGTTAACAGTGCCAGATGACAGTGTGTTCTGAGATGAGTGAGTCTCCAGCTCAGCTCCGATGGCAAATATATCCTCCTTTATCTTCTTCTTCCTAGATCAAAAAGGTGGCAATATACTTGTGCCGGAACAACACCATCCAGACAATGGAAGAACTTCTCTTTGAGCTGCAGCAGACGGAGCCAGTGAACCCCATCGTCCAGCACTGTGACAATCCACCTTTCTATCGATTCACAGCCAGCAGCAAGGCCTCAGCCGCTGCTTCAGGTAGGGACAGGCCACCTGGGCTCACATCTTGTCAGGCAGCGCACTGAACAGGTTTGAGCGGGTCTTACTATTCATTTTCCTGGCAATGTGTTCATTTAAGAGATGGCTTAAGAATAGCTCTCTGAAGGCCGGGCAGTGGTGGCACACACCTTTAATCCCAGCACTCTGGAGGCAGAGCCAGGTGGATCTCTGTGAGTTCGAGTCCAGCCTGGTCTACAGCGCGAGATCCAGGACGGGCACCAAAACTACACAGAGAAACCCTGTCGGGAAAAAAAAAAAAAAAAACTACCTTCAAACACTGTGTATAAAGGACACATAAAACAGAACTGAATTTCATGCTTAGATTTGCGTCTCTCCTCTAAGACAGTTCCATCAAACGTACACAAACACCCCCAAATCCAAAAGAGCTAAAATCAGAAACATTCCTGACCCCATGAATTCTGAATAACAGATGCTCACAGTGTGTCATTTCTTTCCATCAATTAGTATCTGTTCATTTCATGAAATATATACTAACTGCTTCCCTCAATCTCCTGAGGCTTCCCTTCAACTAACTTAATACGAGTCTGTCTTCACCGCTGACTTCTCTTACTCTCTTGGGCTCTCTCTTTATCCTACTTCTTAGTGAAGTCTTGGTTTTTGTGTTGGTTTGTCTGTTTTCAGAGAGACAGTAACCTAGGGGTCAGGAAAAGACTTAGCTTTCTTTACATACCATTAGCTGAATAATTCCTGGACCCAGAAACCCTAACAGAGCTCGATACAATGGCACCTACCTGTAATCCCAGTGCTGGAGAAGCAGAGGAAGCTGGGTCATAAACTAAAGGCCAGCCTAGGTTGTGTAGCCGTGTCTAAAGTGGCAATGATAAAAGAAATTCTGGCCGGGCGGTGGTGGCGCACGCCTTTAATCCCAGCACTCGGGAGGCAGAGGCAGGCGGATCTCTGTGAGTTCAAGGCCAGCCTGGGCTACCAAGTGAGTTCCAGGAAAGACGCAAAGCTACACAGAGAAACCCTGTCTCGAAAAACCAAAAAAAAAAAAAAAAAAGAAATTCTGACCTAGCTACAGCAGACTCACCTCCGTATAAGGTCCTGACCTGAGACTAGAAACTTCTAAGAATGTTATACTCATTTTATGAGGGAGAAGGAATTAGGTTTGGCCAAAGCAGGTGTCTAGAACTCTGCTGTGGACTTCTGAGATGGTACGGAAGATATGAAGACTGTTAAGCGTGGGGTTGTACAGGGAATCCTTTCCTGAACTACCTACGACTTGAGCCTGCTCCGCTCGGCATGCTCTGTCTCTGATGCCTCCTAATCCTCTCTGTAGGAACCACCTCCAGCAGTAACACCGTAGTCGCGGGTCAAGACAGTTTCCCAGACCCCGAGGAGAGCAAGATCCTGAAAGAGTCTGATGACAGGTCAGTGCACGCATTTGGCTGACAAAGGTATCTACACACATTAGCGAAGTTTCCTAAATTCATGGGAACTGAAGCCCATCTGTACGCTTAGGAACACAGACTGACTTCCCAACCCTGCCCGATGTATCCCTAAAGATTCACCTGCACAAAATCAGAGAGGAAGACAGTGTTCTGGTGTCTGAGTCCCACTTATACCTGGGCATCATTAAAAACCACTGGACGGAGGTGGGAGAGATGGCCAGTGGTTAAAAGCACCAGCTGCGCTTCAAAAGAACCAAGTTCCTGTTTTCTGGAATTGGGTTAAAAATGGAACTGTTTAAATGAAGAAATGTATTGTTTCTACCTAGAGTCAAGATGCAGTTTTGTGTGTGCATATATGCTTTATTAACTGGTGATTCATGAATTGTTTTATGGAACTGTTTACGTAAAATGGAATTACTTACGGAACTGGTTTTGTTTTTACAAATGGAACTGTTTAATTGGAAAGGTTTGTAGGGCCCTGGCCCTCCCATTTTGAGTAAACTGTTGCCTGCTTGCCGACCTTGAAAAAAAAAGAACCAAGTTCCAGCCGGGCGGTGGTGGCACACGCCTTTAATCCCAGCACTCAGGAGGCAGAGCCAGGCGGATCTCTGTGAGTTCGAGGCCAACCTGGGCAAAAGAGTGAGTTCCAGGACAGGCTCCAAAGCTACACAGAGAAACCCTGTCTCAAAAATCCAAAAAAAAAAAAAAAAAGACCCAAGTTCTGTCACAAGCATACCCATGGCCACTCACAACCATCTGTAACTCCAGTTCTGGGTGACCCAGCGCCCTCTTCTGGCCTCCATGGGTACTGCATACACATACATACAGGCAAACACTCATCTGCAGAAAATACACATAAATAAATCCTTGTGGAATTAAAAAACAAAACAAAAACATTGTTCTGCTAGGGGTCATAAACCATTTGGAATTAGGGGAGACTTGGCATGTGAAGCCTAATTATTGCATGATTTTTTAAATGTCTTGAGGAAAGTTCTCTGCAGCAACATTGTATCATCGGCTTTTGTTACTGTAGCGAATCCTGAGGCAGGCTGACTCCTAAGGGAAGAGGGTTAGTTAGTTGTAGGAGCTCGTGTTCTAAACAGCACACTCTGGGCTTTGGCACAGACCCCCAACTGGCTATATCATATCCTAACAGAAGCATGTGTGTACATTTGTTCTCACCCTCCCTCCTTCCTTCCCTCCCTCCCTCCCTCCCTTCCTCCCTCCCTTTCTCCCTTCCTCCCTCCCTCCCTCTCTCTCTAGCTCCCCATACAGAATTACAGGGGCTCCACCCTGACCGTCTTACATAATCTAGTTATTGTACTTAAGTCTTCACTTCTGTATACATAAGTATATATTTATAGGCTGGCTTGCCTCAGAGTAGAGAGAACAGTGGTATACATTAAGTGCCACATAGATGAATGAACATTTTACCTATAATGTCTTTGTATAAAAAACACAGAGCCAGGCGGTGGTGGCGCACGCCTTTAATCCCAGCACTTGGGAGGCAAAGGCAGGAGGATCTCTGTGAGTTTGAGGCCAGCCTGGTCTACAGAGGGAGATCCAGGAAAGGCACAAAGATGCACAGGAAAACCCTGTCTCGAAAAATTTTAAAAAATAAAATAAAATAAACATGATAACATCCTACTAGAACCATTTTTTTTTCTAAGCATCTTCTTTCTAAACACCACAAAGAAATGAAGTTTCCACCGGTAACATAAGACTTGAGGGTCAAGCACCTCCGTGAGTTCATAGAGACAGCCATAGTCAACCTACGCAGTCTTCATTCCCACCTGACCTTTGTTTTATCCCTTCTTAATTAACCAAGAACATCTTGCCCTGTGGCACCAAGAACCCATCCCTTTAGATGAGCTCGGCGAAGCTGTCTCTCCCTCCCTCACACACCTATCTTCTCATTGCCTGGGAATCAACAGATAAAATCTGGGGCTCTCTGGCCTGCTAATGCTTGTGAAGAACAGGAGATTCATCAGGGTTCTTCATTTTGTTTTACTTCATTTTATTGTACGTGTCTGGTGTTTTGCCTACATGTATGTCTGTGCACCATGTGTGTGCCTGGTGCCCAGGGAGGCCAGAAGAGAACATCAGCTGCCCCCGTAACTGGAGTCATAGATGGTTTTGAGCTGTCACGTAGGTGCTAGGGGTCAAACTGAGGTCTTCTGCCAGGCAGTGGTAGTGAACACCTTTAATCCCAGCACTCCGGAGGCAGAGGCAGGAGGATCTCTGTGAGTTTGAGGCCAGCCTGGGCTACCAAGTGAGTTCCAGGACAGTGAAACCCAGTCTCAAAAAACAAAACAAAAACAAAACAAAACAAAAACCTGAGGTCTTGGGTTGGGGATTTAGCTCAGTGGTAGAGCGCTTGCCTAGCAAGCACAAGGCCCTGGGTTCAGTCCTCAGCTCAAAAAAAAAAAAAAAAAAAAAAAAAAAAAAAAAAAAACCTGAGGTCTTCCAGAACCACTGAGCTCTATTCTGGCCCCACTACATAAAATCTTAATCATTTATTTTGTAGCCTGAGTTTCCTATCTTTTTATTTGGGATAGAAAGCCTCTTTGTTTTTATATATTAACATCTTGTTACAAAGTCATCCCCCCACCCCCGGAGCTGAGGACCGAACCCAGGGCCTTGTGCTTGCTAGGCAAGCACTCTACCACTGAGCTAAATCCCCAACCCATCAAACCCTACTTATTATATACCACTGTTCGTCGGTAGCCACAGGTGCTGGGCGACACACCCCATTTCCGCAAACATGGAAGTCTCCAGATGTGGCCTTCGTTCATCAGCCTGCTTTTTAATCCCTTGCCAAATGATGTCTGGGCTCAGCGTACGTACGCTGTTTAGACCGTTGCGTTTATCAGTATAATCATGACTACGGAGCCTCTGGGGAAGATCACATTTTGTCACTTTTCTGACTTTCAATGTTCCAGTCCGGCTTAGACTGTCCTGTGACCTGACCCTTATGAAACTCCTGGGCCCCGAACCTTCTGTTCCGTAACTTCCCAGAGCGGTGTCCCAAAGGGTAGGACAGTGGAGGAGGGAGTCATTGAGGACTATAATTGACAACAGGCTGAGGAGAAAAGCAGCTTTCACAGATACCCGAGAATAAAGCCAGGCACTGTTGTGTGCTGCACTGGGACACCTCAGCAGATGCATATCCCTGAGGCAGCTTTGTGACTGGTACCTCCACGATGACGCAGTTGCCCTTCCCTGGCATGCGTCCAGTTCTTTTTCCTAAAACCTTACCGTTCCTCCATGTGCTGGATGCTTTATGTCAGCCTGACACACACTAGAGCCCTTCAGGAAGAGGGACTCTCAACTGAGAATGTGCGTCCATCACACTTACCTGTATGCCAATTTGTGGAGCATTCACTTGATTGACTCTTGATGTGGGAGGACCGGCCCACTGTGGGTGGTGCCATCCCTAGGCAGGTGGTCCTGAGTTCTATAAGAAAGCAGGCTGGGCGGTGGTGGCGCACGCCTTTAATCCCAGCACTCGGGAGGCAGAGCCAGGCGGATCTCTGTGAGTTCGAGGCCAGCCTGGGCTACCAAGTGAGT